TGTTAATACTTTATAGTGCATAGTCTGGGCGCAGGTTTACACCCTAACCAGTTGCCGTCCGCCCGTTGAAAAAAAAACGGACGGACTGCATTGGCGGGTTGCCATCTCCAGACGGCATCTTGTTTCTGCTCGCGCACGGGCAGAAAAAACCTGTGCAATGCATAGAGCCGTTACCGGCTGTTTAACATATACCCGTTACCGGCTGTTTAACATATACCCGATCGGGGGCTCCATAGCCTGCCGATAGTGTATATGTGCTGGTGTGTGCCCCCCCTCCACCTTCAATCCCGGGATCCGCTGCCCCATCTGCGGCCCGGGAGGGCGTCAGGAGGAAGAGGGAGGGAGTTCAGCTCCTTGCAGATCTCCCTCCGGGCTGTGAATGCAGAAGTGATGTGTATTACATCACTTCCGTATTCACCTGTCAGTCATCTGGCTGCTATAGTCAGAGAAAAGACACTGAAGCAAATCTCTGCTTCATCAGCTTCTTTTGGGGTCCCCAGGTGACATTAGGGGTCCTAGAGACCCCTAATGTCTCCATAAAGAGGACCTGTCAGTGTACCTGTGCTATTATATAGGGAGATTGTTATCCCCCTATGTCAGTGGTTCTCAACCTGTCTAGGGCCGGGACCCCTTGGTAACATTTGCCAAGTTGTGGTGACCCCCAACGGTAAAATTTAGGGATGACGCGGCTGCTGCAGCGACATCTGGCGGTGTGGCGGGAGAACTGACAGCAGAGGGCTGAGGAGGACTCTCACCTAGCACAGTAGAAATCACACAGCGACACACAGGTTGAGAACCACTGCTACAGGCAAAGACAGGACCGGCTCTGCAGCTGGAACTAGAAGAATTGGATTTAAAGTGTGTGGCTATATAACGTATGAGGTAGATACTCCGCAGTACTGTCACTGACAGAGCCGCCCATAGAGTTCAGTGTAGACCGTGAGAGTTACCCCTGATAAGATATACTTACTTCCACTTCTCCAGTCTGTACTCGTCCCTCCACACTCTACTATGCTGGAGGAGCTTGCGGTGTGTCACAGTCATGTGACCAGCTCCTGTAGTGGGCGGGGCCGGCTGTGCTATGTCTACGCCGTATGCCAATTAGCTAATGTAAGTCAAAGTACCGCAGCGCCGAATACTGAAAAATGGCCTGAATGGGAAGGGGGTTTAAACACTGAGGACTTCAACTGGTTAAAGTGTATCTACAGATGAAACTTTTTCTTTCAATTTTGCATACAGTAAGCAATGGTTAGAATCCAAACCCATTTTTTTTATCGTTGTTTTGTTGGGGGAGGGAGATTTCCTTTTAACTGCTATCCTGGAGACATAACATGAAGTCACTGAAAATCTCTCCAAAGTCAGGAGAAAATCCCTCTGAGGGGGCATTAACATATATGCTTTTAACTTATGCCAATGCATGTACACAGGTTAGCCACTGTTATGAATTCTACTACCTCACGTCTGTGAAATGCATTGCCACACGTACCTTGTACATTTTATGCATTTACACATGTTATGGGGCCTACTGGTGACACTGATAGCAAGTTACAGAGTCTACTAATAATACTGGCAGAAGGTTACGTGTCTATGTGTGTCAATAGCAACATAATGTATTTGTGGATAATGTATGTGGAAATGAACATAGAAAAAGTGGGAATGCGGTTTTACACATTTGTCAGTGGAACATATAGTTTTGTCTACAGATTAAAATTAAAATCTGCCAGCAGTTCCCATAAAATGATCAGATCGACTGTGTATTTGTGTGTATGGAGCTTATGGATTTGGAATGCTGGAGGAGTGCATAGGCACGTCCTGACAATGGCTTATAAAAAAAAGGTCCAACAATGGCAATTAGAGAAAGCTTTCCATCGTCTTATCACTATTTACCCCGAGAAGCCTCAGCCAGGAGGAATCTTCCTGTGACATCACAGATAGGAGATCACCACCTCACCAGTTAAGAAGCGGCAGATCAGGCAATTCTCATCTAATGGCTAACAATTAAAGTGGTAAGTGGAGTAATTCAATTGCAACAAATGCAAGAAAAATGAGGGCACAATATAAACAACAGAAAACAGAGAGCTATAGCAGCTTTAGCAAAATTTGATGAAAAGAAGCACATCTCCAATCTGTTCTAATGCTTTTTGCAATGGAAGTGACCTTGACTTCTCACCACACGTCATTACAATAAGTCTCTTTGCTGATCTTCCTTCCAGCCATGTGGAAGAAACAAATATATCTCCTTTTCTACCAGAGACATATACACACTGGTGCTAGTAGGGTCATATATCAGCAACATGACGACAAAAAGGACTATGGATTCACCGATAAGACCTAAATAATATGAATGACAGACATTCATAAAAGTTAAAACATAAAAACACAAAATATTGTGTCTATACCAGAACAGAAATTGTGTTTTGCTTTACAACAGTAAAAAAAACCCACAAAAATATTATGAAAATGCATTTCCTATGGGTGTTTCTATGTACTTCATTGTACTTACAATGAATATGGAGGGCTTTTGTTGCTTTTGGCAGCTCACACCATAAAAAATCTCTCCTCTATATACTGTATGTATTGCTACAACACATTTCATGAAGTAGTGAGAAAGCACGACTAAATATAAAATGAAACATAAAAATAGACAAATAAAAACAGTTTTCTACAATGACGGGATACCTCAAACATTATTAAAATGACCAGTGTTTGGTTATACTGTTCTGACGTATTATATAAGAGGAAATGGTAACCCATAATGTCAACTTCAATTAGTGGCATAGCATGCATTAGTGATTAGCACCACAGTATACAGTGAGCCTATCAGTCATATGATGATGTATTTTTGTTCTGCTGGAACAACAGGCTTCATTTAACAGATCACATGATTCTGCCAATTACACATGGCCGCACAGGACTAAAACTAGTTTGAAGATGCAGTTAGCAAAAACGGAATCCAGTCATGAAAAAAACAAAAAACAAACAAACAGATCAGGCTGAAAATTTCATTTACACATACACTACAAGTAAGGGTCTTAATGTGTATTCATTCATTCATCTATTGGTTTCCTTTTGGATACAATAGGCACAGGTTTGTCAGGTTTTTAGTGAGGTCACTATGTCGCCCAGAAGGAGGGACCCTGTGTGGCCCCGAAACATTGGCTGTATGAAGCATGTGACAATTTAATAAAAAGTGCTTTACTTCTTGCACACATCATCGAGTGCTGGTGACTTCTATTATGGACTGTATCCGACACGGCGCCATCCGTGTTGTCACTTCAAACACCAACCTTTCAACAAGGTATGTACGCTGTATGGAGTGGAGGTGATTTCGTGTTATCGATTACAACCACAATCAGAACGCGCGGAAAAATACATGTCTATTAATATCCTGCCGTCCGCCCGTTGAGAAAAAACAGACGGACGGCAGACTCACACAGGCGGGTTGCCGTCAACAGACGGCTTTTTTTTTCTGCGTGCACGGGTTTGATATACATACGATCGGCGGCTCTATAGCCTGCTGATCGTATGTATGTGCTGACTTTGCGCCCCCCAGAGTGCCGCCGCCCCTCCTGACCCCTCAGCTTCAATCCCGGGATCGGCTAGCCCATCTGCGAGGTAAGATGGGAGGGGGAACAGCATCTTCCTCCTTACTGATCTCCCTCCGAGGTCTGAATGCAGAAGTGATGTTTATTACATCACTTCCGCATTCACCTGTCAGTCATCTGGCTGCTATAGCCAGAGAGAAGAAGCTAATGAAGCAGATCTCTGCTTCATCAGCTTCTTTGGGGGTCCCCAGGTGACATTAGGGGTCTTAGAGACCCCTAATGGCTCCATAAAGAGGACCTGTCAGTGTGCCTTTGCTATTATATAGGGGGATTGTTATCCCCCTATGTGATAGCAATAACAATAAGTGTAAAAAAACATTAAAAAAAATAAAAGTCACATATAAAAAACTTAAAAACCCAAATTTTTAAGTCCCCCACCCCCACATTTACACACATATAAAAGTAGATTCGCGTTTGATGCGCCAGCGTGCGAAAATGCCAATTGCGCTACACGTTACATATCGTCGCGTACGTCGGAGTGAGAGCAATCATGTCAAGGGCCGACATGTGAGGCCCCTATCACCAAACTAGGTCTTATTTTCGGGGTAGGTCTTATATTACAGGAATCTCTAAAGATAGTGCAAGGTCTTACTTTCGCGGTAGGTCTTATTTTCGGGGAAACACGGTAGGGCCTAAAGTGCCCATACACGGTTCGACTTTCGGCCAGTTTTTGGAGGAACCAGCCTAAATTCGCATACTGTGTGCCGCTGTCAGCACTCTTTCAATCTGCATCATTCGATCAGCTGACTGAAGGAGCCGGTCAGGAAATCTTTGATCAATCAGAGCCAGCAGCCAATGAGCTGCCCGCTCTGGTCAGGTATTCTGGGTCAGCAGCATGTAAACAGCAGGATTCCTCTTTCGACACGCTGTTACTGTTGATGGAGGAATTAGGTCTATTTTTTTTTTCAGCCCGCTTGTTGAACAAAAAAAATATTTAGATCAATGTATGGCCAGCTCTAGTCCAGAATAAGTCGTATTGGATGATTAAACATCTCAGTATCCTTCAAATGCTGAAATAATCATATCCCACAATCACATATCATACTGAAATGGTACTAGTGTCCAAAAACTTAAAGTGAACTAGTCTCCAAAATAAAATCAAGTCAAATTGTAGAATTCATAATAGTAATTTTAGAAACAAAAGCAATACAGTTTGAACTTTCTTCTCCAGGTGTAGCCCATGCCAATGAATGGGGCCCCTGAAGGATTGCTTGCAGCAGCATACAAAGGCAGATCACTAGCCATCAGCAAATGAGCCAGGCTGGGTGCAAACGGGTGATAAGAGTTCGTGTCTAGATAAAAGAATGAGGAATGTATGTAGACACTTGTGTAACAGTTATAGCAATGTAATAATAACAATAATAATAATAATGATCAGCAATACATACGACTTACCCAGGACACCATCCTCAGGACAGTGTGAGGTTGCCGGATAAATGTCTGGGGGTCAAAGGCTCCACCAGCCTTACCAGCTCCGTAAGCACCTCCCTCCATACCGAACGGCTTCGCCAAACGTTTATCGAACGAATTCCTCCTCACAGTTCTAATGCCCTTGCAGTGATGCCGATCTTGAAGCAGATCAGATAATGGCTACACGGCTCAAGGACATAGGAAGGCTCTGTGCAGGTGAACAGTGCACGATCACAATAAGGCAGCGATGAAAGAATACTACAGCAGGGAATGAAGTATAACAAGCAGTACCGATGGAGATATACAGAGTGTGAAGTGGACAGGAGGAGACAAGGACGAGGGAGTGAGCGGCTAACCTACTGGGAGATGCTAGGGAGCAGCTGATGTGATTTAAAAAAAAAAAAAATACAGCCAAACCCAGATCAGAGCCGATGCGACAGCTACAGCAAGCGCTATGGCTGTAGCAGAGTCCCGCACATGCGCACTCCGTCCTCCTACACATAACCACGTGACCCCATTCCCAGCCACTGCCATCTTGCTCTGAAACGGCTACTTATTTCCATGGCAACCATAGGAGGAAAAAAAGATGGTTGGCCCTTATATAAAACCATAATAAAAACGTGTGCAGTGTCATTCTATCATTTTGTTTTACAATAAAGAGAAATTCTTTTGATCAAGAATATACATTGGTCACACTTCAAAGTCATGCTGGCAGGTTAATTTGCTCCTGTTTAAATTGGCCCTACTTTCTGAGATGAGAAAGAGGGACACCCTTTAGCACAAAAGTGTCTAGGCAAATAACACACCCCCTGCCATGCCCCCAGTTACATGGAGAATTAGGGCTCATTTACACAGGCTTTTTTCCATACAGCATAAAAAAAAGTACTGCAGATGGAGTCGAGGCGCATAGGAAATTCCTATCCTCTTCAGGTCCATCTAGTGGTGGGAATGCCTTGCAAATAGCATCTGCCCAGCTATACACTGGGCAGATCATTTATACAACACCAGAACTGGCATTTACAGGGGTACATGCAGGTACAGAGTTTTCTGTTCATGCACTACTATGGACAAAAAACGCGGCGGCTCCCAACCACCACAAACAGGTGTATTTTACGCTGTATGCAAGTACACTCATTTGCTCCCGAATACACCTGCGTGCATGTGCCCTTACTAAGTAAATAATGATTGGTTTTTCTTTATACTTGCATTTTTTAAAATAGTAATGTGATAATAAAAGGGTTTGTGTGAAAGGTTTAGGGGCGGATGATGTATAAACTTTCTGCCCAGCATATATCAGGGCAAATGCCGTTTGTACGGCATTCCCATTACTAAATGGTGCTGTGCTCTTTGGCTTCATAAAGTAGCGAAAATGCTGTGCGAACAGTATTTGATCAGCTATACAATAGGGGAAACATTTAAACATCATCCACTTCAGAGTATTGTTATGCATTTGTTAGTTAAGTATCACATTTATTATAGAGGTGTACACATCTGTCCAGAAAGGGAGACAACTGAGGAGAAAAGAGGGACAGAGGGATTTGGTTTCAAAAGAGGGACAGTCCCTACCAATCAGGTACAATTGGGAGGTATGGTATGTGTGTATACATGTGTGATAAGGTCCTTATATTGTAAGCTCATTGTGGCCCCATCAAGCCCTATGTGTTGGGCTGAGGTTGGCAGTCTTGCCTAGTGCAATCCCATTGCATGGACAAAACAAACTGCCTTATGTCCTATTTACATAGTAACATAGTAGGTAAGGTTGAATGAAGACAAGGATCCATCCAGTTCAACCTACTGTATGTGTGTCTGTATTTATCTTGCTCTAACACTTCCCATAACCCTGAGGGTAAGCGAAAGAAGAAACTCATCAAGACATTTCTTGAATTTATCAACGTTATCAGTGGAGCCTGTGGAAGGGAATCCCAAAATTTAATAACTCTCTCAGTAAAAAGCTGCCTATGAATTCTAAGATTGAACCCCCTAACCTCATGTTGTGTCCCCGAGTTCTCAATACAGTTTTTGGATTGAACAGTTTGTTCTGAATATTGGGGTCCCCATTGATGATTTTGAAGACTGCAATAAGGTCCCCTCTTAATCGCCTCTTTACTAAGGTGAATAAGTTTAAATATTGATTAAATGCACGCCAGTAACTTGTTAGCTCTGCTAGCTGCTGCTTAGCATTGCTTACTATTGCCAAATCTGTGGTCTATGAGGACCCCTAGGTCTTTTTCCATGTCTGACTTCCCCGATGTAGCACCCACCAAGTGGTAGTCTGCACACACATTCTTTGCTCCTAATGTGCATAGCCTTACATTTTTCAACATTAAATCGCTTTTGCCATCTTGCAGCCCATGCCTCAATTTTACGGTCTGTTGAAGTGCAAATATCTCCTGTTCAGAATTTAATGCCCTACACAGTTTCGTATCGTCCGCAAAAAACAAAAACAAATTATTTAATCCAATCTCTATGTCGTGGATGGAAAAGATGAACAGGGTCGGTCCCAGGACTGAACCCTACTCACAACCTTTGCCCAATTAGAGAATTACCCATTTATTACTACTCTTTGGATCCGTTCTTGCAGCCAATTTTCCATCTATGTACATACAATTCCATCTAGACCCATAGACCTTAGTTCATGGATTAAACTTTGTGGGGTACTATGTCAAATGCTTTAGCAAAGTACAGATACACAACATCTACTGGAATTCCTTTTTCTAAATTAGTACGGACTTCCTCATAAAATGTTAATAGATTGGTCTGGCATGAACGGTCCTCCATTAAACCATGTTGGTTACTACTTATGATACCAGTTTTATTTGCAGATTCCTGCATGTAGTCCCTTATCATGCCTTTGAATATTTTACACACACTTGATGTTAAGTTGACAGGCCTGTAGTTTCCTGGTGCACTTCTTTTCCCCTTTTTGAATATTGGTACCACATTCGCTTTCTGCCAATCAGCCGGGACTATACTTGTCATTATAGTGTCCATAAAAATATTGTACAAGGGTCCACTTGCTGGCTACAATTGCAATATTGCATGTTCACATGACTAAAACGCATTTTATCAAGTTTTGTTGTAGTAAAGCAAAGGATGAACATTATGTACTTTGCAATCTAGAAACAAAAAACAAAAAGGGCGCAACGCTAGGTGGGCTAACTGACCGGGTCGGAAGACCCAGGGAAGGTGACAGGGAGAATTATGTGACAATGGGTGCAAAAGGCAAAAGAAAGAGCACTTACATTTTAATTCATGGGACCAGAGGCTGGACGGCCGGTGTGGAGGATCGGGTCATCCGTGGTGTCTATCTGGAACTGGTGTGCCGGAGGATGTGCATCCACACGGGGAGAGGAGGCTGTGGGCGAGGGTGAGAGGGGGGGGAAGAGAGAAGCCACAAGAATAGGGACTCTTTTTCAAGCTCAAGAAGGAACATCTTCTTGAGCTTGAAAAAGAGGTATCGCTCCTCGAAACGCGTCGCTCAGCTCACTGCCCCTCCACCCCGCTACTACCCTCTTCCCACCACAGATCCGACTGACAGCTGACTACTTTCAGCCCACGGCTCCCGCACACTGCTCCAGTCTGTGCCGTCAGTGACTGAGCATCACGATCCACAGCCGCGGCCACAGCAGTTCTGCCTGCTTCTGACACCGCTGATTTTCTCCCGCACTACTCGGCCCCTGGACTCACACAGCGGGCCACGGACTGAGTCCCCATTCTTGTGGCTTCTCTCTTCCCCCCCTCTCACCCTCGCCCACAGCCTCCTCTCCCCGTGTGGATGCACATCCTCCGGCACACCAGTTCCAGATAGACACCACGGATGACCCGATCCTCCACACCGGCCGTCCAGCCTCTGGTCCCATGAATTAAAATGTAAGTGCTCTTTCTTTTGCCTTTTGCACCCATTGTCACATAATTCTCCCTGTCACCTTCCCTGGGTCTTCCGACCCGGTCAGTTAGCCCACCTAGCGTTGCGCCCTTTTTGTTTTTTGTTTCTAGTTTGCATATCCACAGGCACTCCTCCTGGGCTTCAGGGCTGCACACTATTTAGGGTCACACATTGTTTACCCCCTCAATATCATTACAAGAGCGCTGTTTGTACGATTTGTGTTTTTGTGTACTTTGCAATGTAAATCACAACATGACTCGTACTCATCAAAATGCCCTGCTACCAAGCGACAATACCGGCACTTTACATTTTTAAACACGAGCAGCTGCCTGAGGTTCTGTGCTTGCTGGGGACCTTAGGCAGCCTGCTGGGGACCTCGCAGAGGCTGTCTTTTACAGCATCGGTCCATCTGCACATTTCTTCCTTCTCTTTCCCGCTGCCTGCACCTGCCCGAGCAGCCATGGGGAGACTTGGAACATCCCTGGTAAAACTCCCCCCGAGCAGCCCTGGTGAGACCTGCACCAGCCCGAGCAGCTATTGGGAGACCCACAACAGCCCTGGCAAGACCCTGTCTACTGGAAGTATTCCCACACTTCTGGGTGTGTAAGTGTCTGATCCCCACCACTCACTGAGGTATGCCCACTAGTTTGTACTTCACTGGACATACGAGTCACCAGAAGAACCCACAGTGAACTGTAAGAGGAGCTTTATCAGACTGGATAAATACTTACACAGGGGAATGACCAGTGAAGCAGTAGCTTTTTTTTAAAAAAAAGTACTTAATATGCAGTCTTTTTGTAGAAGCCATGTTGTACATGTAGCCCCCATCACCTTTTGTAAGGTGGCTACTAGACATTTAGTGATTGCCAGAGCTGTAATCAGTCTGGCTGGATTATAAGTAGTAACTAATCAGCTTCTCTCTTTAGTTTGATCAGTTAAGGTTTGAAAATGAAAAGTGGATGCTTATTGGTTACCATGCACAGCTGCTCCATATTTTGTCTGCTCCAGTTTTAATAAATTTCCCCCTGTGAGTGTGTGTGTGCAGTTAATCAGCCAATCACTGGGTCTCTCTCAACCAGTGTTGCATGCTGGGACAGTGCTGATATACTCAAGGTCATCCAGGAATTCACCCCTGGTGTAAAGGCCGTCCATGCGAAGCCTGCTGCAGGAGGTGGTAAGATCAAATCACATGGGGCACAGACCCGGGGCACCGAAACAATCACACTACTGCACACACTACAATCACTACTACATTTACCTCTAGTGTCACTACTGAAGCAGTAGTCTCAAAGTTAACCCGAACGGACATTAATGAAGGAGGGTTAAGTTCTCATACATCAAGTAATGCCTCCTTGGGTGCTGTAGAGAGGCCCGGGACTAAGCTGAGCTGCGAAAATTGGGAAGAGAGTTCTGGAGAGGAGGGTCAGCCTTGGTCACTACAAGTGGTTGATTCTAGTGGGA